TCCCACACTTCGCGGGGAGGATAGGACATCTCGGTAGGACAAGTCGCTTTCCATCATATATATATATATATATATATATATATATATATATATATATATATATATATATATATATATATATATATATATATATATATATATATATATATATATATATATATATATATATATATATATATGACTCTGCCATTTTAATAGGGATCCGTTATTTCTTGTGGAGATTTTAGGTCGTTTTTGGTTACTTTACTACTTCTTTAATTACTCCCCCCCCCCCACCCCCTCTCTCTCTCTCTAGATCCATGTCAAAGCAAAAAGGACCACAATATTTACGTCTTATGACATTTTTGTTGTTGTCAAAAAAAAATTCTTTGTGTCCAATAAACACTATTCATTGGGCACAATTTGTACAAATTGATAGACTTTTATTTATTACTGTTCATCAAGTAATGTCTGAGGAAAAAGTCAGTACTGACCAAAACAATTTCAAGTCCAGGGTTAATATCTCTGGTTTGTATGTTTTTTGTTTAACGGCCCTCTCGAGAATTTTTCACTCCTATGGAGACGCCACCACTTGCCGATGGAAGGCTGCAAATTTTGACCTATACTCGGCACTTAAGGCCATTGAGCAGTGAGGGATCTTTTTCGTGCCAGCACCTACTGCGACACGGGATCTCGGTTTATAGGTTATCATCCGAAGGACCGGTCTCCACATCCCGCAGTGGGATTCGAACCCGCGACGTAAGGATCAACCTCTTACTCCGCGACTCTAGAGCAAACGCTCTAACCACTGCGCCACGCGGGCGACCAATATCTCTGGTGAAAGCAAGTCAAAATTCATGAAATGAAAAAGGCGAAGATAACAGTGATCGATATCAAAACTACAAACAATACAAATCTGTTAACAGGGCATAAACACGGACCTTCGGAAATTCCACAGTGCGACATTGTGCATTGGAGGAGAAGACGTCCCCTGTTGACCGATCACACCCGTGAGCCCTACGTACTGAAGTAGACGGAACATTCCGTAGTCAAATTTATTTTAAAAACAAAGGCCTTACAGTTGGTATAAAATGGAGTCAGCCAAAATATGTTTTACATTGTATCTGTTAACGATGTCATTATAACGACCATAGAATTTACGAAATATTGACTTTAAAAGAGGTTGTCGAAATCCCTGTAACGTCAACTTATCTCTCAGTAACCTGCCTCGATTAAAAATTATTTCACCTAGAACATGCTCATGAGTAGCGAGAAAGTTGGGGGACATTAATACCATAAGCAGGTGATAGTGGAATACTACTACATACGGGAAGTTGACAATGATCGGAATTATGAACGTACATATATCAGCTTATTATCTGCAATAACACTAGGAAAAAGGCTAGGAAAATAGTGAATGTTAATACATTTTCAAGGGTCAGAACTCTGGTGAGAATGGGTTCACCAAAATGAAACAAGCTTTATATGTCATCGATTAGTGCACAAACCAACTAAAAGTCACTGACGAAACTGTAGCTCTACTAGTTTGTACTTATAACATCGGAATAGAAAAAAAGCACTTGTACATGAAACTATGCAACAGTAATAAATAGAATAATGATCCTTTGTATAGTCTCCTTTTGTGGCAAGATTTATTGCAATCAGACTAAAAATAAACTGTTGGAGTAGCCTTTTTAAAAAATTTAACAGAAATTTCTTTTTCTAGTAACCATGGCAACACCATTATTCGAAATCAAAAAAAAAAATATATATATATATATAAAGAATAATTTATCTGAATTTGAAATCTCTTTATGTGTGAAGTTATATTGAAATCAGACCAAAACTGTAAAAGAAGTAGCATTTTGAAAGTATTTCACAGAAATGTCTATTTTTAGTAACCATGGCAATAACTCTCAAAAGAATTAAAATCCAATGCAAAAAAAATTATGTATCTATGGTAGTCTACTTGTGTGCCAAGTACTGTTGAGATCAAACTACAACTGTAGGAGAAGTAGCATTTTAAAAGTATTTCAAAGAATAACATATTTTTCGTAACCATGGCAATACCACTCTCCAAAATCAGAAACCAATGCACTGCATTACGTATCTTAGTGTAGTCTACTTGTGTGCCAAGTTATATTAAAATCAGACAAAAACTGAGGAGGAGTAGCGTTTTAAAGGAATTTCACAGAAAGAACTGCGAATGATAGTGTTGTTCTCCCGCCTACCTCCAGGTCAATTTTCAGAAGTTAACAGATTTGAATAAATTTTCATATTTATATAGATATTTATATGGATTTTCACAAAACATAACTTATTTGGAAAAACAAAGAGAGATAACTCTATAATTTTGGTAAAACTAGTATTGTTCTCCTGCCTACCTCCAGGTCAATTTTCAAAAGTTACAGATTTGAATAAATTTTCATATTTATATAGATATTTATATGGACTTTCACAAAACATAACTTATTTGGGAAAACAAAGAGAGATTACTCTATAATTTTGGTAAAACTTGTGTTTTTCACTATAGAAATCAATGGAAAACGGAAAATATTTCTTAAAACATCTCTCCCCCCCCCCCCCCCCCCCCCCCTGAAACAATTCCTTTTTACATGTATTAAGAATCCTTATGTAACAAATTCATACCAAAGCTTTTGTTGTTTCACGGAGGGGGGGGGGGGGTACTTTATCAATCATATATGTTTTATTTTACAGGGGTTATTCGTACTAACAGATTCAAGGGACATTTATCAATATCCACGAAAATTTCAAAATCTGGTGATGTTTTAAAGCCTGATTTTAATGGAAAACATCATCTACCCCCCTTATAAAAAGAGATGTAATTAAGAGTAATTAATTATTTGACACTGGTATTAAAATTATTAATCAATTACCATTGAACTCTCCTTTGCATTCAAAGTAGTTTTAATGGCCAGATTAACACTAGTATTGAATTAAATGGGTGTAAAGTGTAGGCGGGAATCGAGAGTTAGCGTGCGTAGTTCTTTCCATTTTTAGTGACTATGGAAACTTCGTTCATCAAAATCAAAAACAGATGAACTGAATTATCTTAGTGTAGGCTACTTGTGTGCCAAGTTATATTGAAATCAGATCAAAACTGTAGGTGCAGCATTTTAAAAGAACTTCACAGAAATTTCTATTTTTAGTAACCATAGCAACTTCGTTCACCAAAATCAAAAATCAATAAATAGAATTACGTATCTTAGTGTAGTCTACTTGTGTGCCAAAATATATTGAAATCAGACCAAAACTATAGGAGGAGTAGCATTTTGAAAAATTGTTTATGGACACACAGTTCGACAGATAGACAGGCACCTTACTATCATATAAGCTCTTCTGGTCTCTGACCAGTAGAGCTAAAAATCAGCTAACCATCTACAAGCACTAAAAAAAAAAAGATAGGAAAACAGTAATTACAAATTATTTGACGTCTCCGTCCCAATAACTTCCTCTTAAATGTGTCTGACATTTAACATGAAACTCAAACTTGATCTGTCATCGTTTAAGTGCAATATCAAGTAACAGCTCATCATTCACAAGCATAGCAAAAAGTTCAGAAAACAAAACAAGGAAATTTTTTAAGTCTAAGGGCAATAACTTTCATGAGCATAAAAACTCAAACTAATCTTGCATCAGCAATATAAATTGGCATACCAAAAATTATCTCATAATAAACCCCTCATCCCCCCAAAAAGGAAAACGGTGAGTAATTAGAAATTTCCAGAGTCAGATCTGTAAGTCATCAATACTAGAGGCCAACGGGCCTCATAGGTCACCTGAGTATCATGTATCAACTTTACCCTGAGCCCTGCCCTAACACCAGAACCCTGACCCAGGGGACATAAAATTCACAATTTTGGAAGAGGCACCCTTACTTTTCATAACTATACTCTTAGTTCATCAGTTTAATACCCAGGAGGAAAGGAGAAGATTTTCAAAGAATTATTGCATTTTTTACAATGTAAATCATTAGAGCCCCGCCCTAACACCAGAATCCCTGACCCAGGGGGCATGAAATTTACAATATACGAAGAGGCACCCCTTACTCATCATAACTATGCATTCAGTTTGTTTGCCCTGGATTAGAGAAGAAGATTTTTAAAGAAATAATGCATTTTCACTATATATTCAACAGAGCCCCATCCTAACACCAGAACCCCTGACCCTTGGGCCATGAAATTCACAATTTTAAAAGAAGCACCTCTCCTCCTCATAACTATGTATATTGTTTGTTTGCTTAATAACCAGGAGCAGAGGAGAAGATTTTTAAGAAATAATGCATTTTCACTCTATATTCAACAGAGCCCCACCTTAGCACCAGAACCTCTGACCCTGGGGCCATAAATTTCACAATTTTAGTAGAGGGCTCAATGCTTATTATAATCATGCCAACAGTTTGACTGCTTGATGACCAAGAGTAAAGAAGAAGATTTTTAAAGATTGCAATAATTTTGATGGTTTTACCCCACCCCTCAGGCCCCAGGGGATAGGGGTCATGAATTTCAAAATTTTTACTCCCCTTCACCCATAGATGCTATATACCAAATTTGGTTGAAATTGGTTCGCTGGTTCCAGAGAAGAAGCCGAAAATATTCAAATGTTAACACACAATGGACGACGCACGCCAACAGACAAAAACAGATAGCAATAGGTCACCTGAGTAAACTCAGGTGACCTAATAAATAGATTAATTATCAGCACACCAAAGTTCAGAAAGCCAACCATGACAAAATAATTGCCAGAAAGAGGTAATGACACTATTTAACCTGACCATTTTATGGCGGGGCAAAAAAATCAGGAATTCCTTTGCTAATTTAGAAATTCAAAAAAATATATGAAATATAATAATAAATATAAAGGAAATGATAGTCTGAATAAGATTTTGACAACTATTTACATTTATTAATAACATTTTTTTCACAAAACTGTTCAGCTTTAAAACAATATAATACCACAGTAACACAAAGTTGACACAAATTCTTTGTTTCTTAAAGTAAGTTATCTATCGTTTGTTCCTTTTGGTTCCTGGTGGCTTATTCAGCTGGAACGGTTGTTCACCTCCCCCAGAGGGAAACAGCTGAGGAGACCCAAATGCTGGAGTGGTTTGTCCTGTCTGAGGAGTTCCGAACAGTGATGGTGTTGTGGTAGTAGGGGTCCCAAAACCTGATACAGAAAATAAGACTGTAAGTCTCTGAGAAACCTATTGCTTAGAGAAATAAATCAATCTTAATATTTACTTTTCTTGAATATCCGAATTCTGATATGAAAATTTACTGTCAAATGAAAGAGATAAATTGATCTTTATTTCCCATGCACAGTGAATCTCTTCATTATGATTTATCAAAGATATAAATAGCAAACATTGTAAAAATAAATAAGCAGGTTATTTATGTTCTTCTTCATCTTTAAAATGAAAAACACCACAACCAGCATTATACTGTGTCAGTCATATCCAGAGAAATTGTTATCTTTGCTAGACTTCATTTTCTAGCAGTACAGTAATCTTGTCCTTAAGACACATTATCATGACGTAAACAATAGTTGTGCCAGGGAAGTCTTAAATGTTTCTTCAACATACTGTAATGAAGCCTGATATGATTTTTCCCATTTTTTCCTATGAATTTTGCCCACTTTAGGACAACCCCAAAGTCATTCCTCCAGGTGATTCCATACACCCTAGTTTTATTTGGACAATGATTCTGATTGTTATCAATTACAACAAGCATTTATGTACATACAGTAATATTAATGAATGTAATGAACCATCCCTAGTTACAGTGTGTATAATATTGTTTCAAAGCAGTGTTATGCAAAGGCATGCATTCTCGGACACAGATAACATCTGAAAGTATAAGCATTTTATTTTTCTGTATAATGCAAATTTATATATATACTGAAATGCAAAAGAAACGCAACATCTTATTTTAGGGGGAAATCTTACACATAGGATATAATTTTGTATCTAAAAAGTAAGGACATCTTCAACTTTGTAAACGTAATTTAACGGTTGAATGATTTTCATACCATTACCGGAAGTTAAGTTTGAGTCTGCTTAACAGAAACCAAAAACTGCATGTTTAACAAAACATTTGCCAATAATATGGGGTTTTAAGGATTTGTATCTGTTCATCAGAAGTAATGCAGCAATATTCAGAAAAATAAATTCTCCTTTCTTTTCTAAGCGATGCCAAGGCTTCCTGAAAATGACTTAAGTACACATTTCCATTGCTCTAGCTGGAAAATCTCAAAATAAAGGTGACGGAGGGTTGCAGATGCAAATATACACTACATCATGCCCAGGGCTCTCTCACCACTTTTTGGGACTGGGGCTGGGGCCGTAAAAATTGGGAAAATTAGGGACCTTTTGAGGAATTTTGGGAAAATCATAACTAGACATTATACATTATATTCCTGATATATTGAGTTTCTGGTGGTTTTGTAATATAGAGAAAAATGAATTACAAGTTTAGTAACTACATATCTTACTAAATGTTCATTAATATTTGGGGAAGTGACAGATTGGGAAAATTAACACATTCAATTGGGAAAAAAGGTACCTTTTTTGAATTGGGAATGGGGCCTTTGAACGGCCCCAAATATAGAGAATTGAGAGCCCTGATGCCTCAAGAGGCTCTTATGTATCATTAGCATGAATGAAAGTCCTTGGATTGGAAGTCCAAGGGTTACTCCATTGTGCTAGGCTAGAGAAAATTCAACCTCATCATCTGAAAAAAAAACTGGCATTTAAGAATGGCAAAGAATATTTCTTTCACTCAGATCTCGAGATTAATGAGCCTAATGCATTGTAGAAATCAAGCTGCAATTGTTGTGCATGGCAGTCTTGCATGCTGTAATTGAATGGCCGGGTGGGGGTATTTTAACAGCCATGTGTTACTTTCTAAAGTTAAAAGATAATAATTTAACATTTTTATCAAATCTCTGATGTTTTTAAATTGAGTTTTACCTTACTGTATTCATTTTTGAGAATCATTAGATAAATATTCAAATATTTGTAGATTACTGCTTGTTGCGTTTCTCCTGCATTTCGGTATATACGTGTATATCCTTTCCTAATACATATAATCATTTTCTATAGCTAACTTAAATTTATTGGTAACAATGAAATAAATTGAAAGACTGCAATCCTGAACAATTTCTCTTGATTTTTACCATGAGAAATGAATATTGATGATGTTCTCTCATATTGTTGAAATAAATGAGAACAGTAAGAAGCCTGCTTTATTGCTTTAGCTTACTCAATTCTATAATTTTCAAAATGCAGTCAAAAAATATACTCCTCTAACAAAATAAAGGGGTCATAAAAAAACCTACACAAAAAATATTAATTAGTATTTTAAAATGAAGCTCTATGTATAGTTGCCTTAACCAGAGGCTAGAAACACAATTACATGTAAGATCAGTTTTATTTAAACCAATGAAAATCAGTCAAGATATTAAGCCATTCATATGCAATATCTGAATTACAGCCAATAGGATGTTTAGATAGAGTGCCCCAATCACAGGCTGCGTAGCAAAGAAAGCTTGGGATGAGCCATAGTGATGGACAGATTTGCTTACCACCACTAACCTAATGGACGAACTGTGGCGGTGTTCAAGCCAGTGAAGCTGAAACCTGAACTTGTAGTGGTGGTGGTGGTGGTGGAACCAAACCCTGTGAAGAAATGAAACAAATGTGTCATAAGGCAACACTAATGGTGGACTCTTTATCAAGTTATAATTGAAAACAGTAACGCTGGATCATGCTGGATTATACTGCTGGTCATTACAAATTAGTCATTACATGAAAGTGTCAAAAATTAAATTTAAGGCTGGATATTGCAAAATAATGTCATGTTGATGTTTTTCAGACACCTGAGATCTGGGTTTTCATCACCTCAACACAAACTGTAGATTCCTAAGTATAAACGAGGACCTTTTTATCACCTAATTTTGCGAGAAACATCACTCCGAAAATAAACTCACTTTTATTCTATATTGCTAAAATACATGTAAAAGGTTTTGATCAAGAGCACTCGGGAATGCAGATTCTTGCGATTTGATGTCTAGGTGTCATTTCAGGATATTAAGTGTACTCACATAAAATAAGAAATCTATCTTGAGAATATTTCATTTCTTTTCCAGAAAAATTAAGACAGATCAATACCTCTGATAGACACTTGAAAAAAAAAAAAACCCAGTATAGATCTACAGTAAAACATGCTTATAGCCAAGTGCCAGGGACAAACAATCTTGGTTCATTATAAACATAATTGGTCATATCCGTAAAGTTCACAATATATTTTAAACTACATGGAATGAAAATCACTTCCTTAAGAATTCATTATAAGAATATTAACTATTGGTGTGTGTAACTGTATACTGATTGAATCAGGCAATGTAGGCTTCATGTAATTATAAATGATGACAAAAGAGAGGCAGATGATTAAAAAATGGCTCTTTGTGATTATACAGTCATGTAAATATTTAATAGTGCTATTACAGACATACACAAAAAAACCAATCTCTCCCCCCTTCCAACAAAGGAAAAGGTAAGATATTTCAGCCAAAATACATGTAGTATAAATCATTAAAGAGTTTAGAATATTGCTAATATTTGTAAGCATAGCTTTTGGCCTGAGTTATATTTTTTAATTTGAACATTATAAAGGACTACCATTTTTTAATATAAAAAATATAATTATAAAAAAACTACGAATGAAGTATAAGATTAAACATTCTTTTTGAAAATTTTATCAATGTGTAAACTCTTGACATTTTACTCACAAACTAAATAAAAGTGTGAAGCACTTTTATGTTAAGTGAGTAAAATGTCAAGAGTTTACACATCAATAAAATTTTCAATATAGATAAAAAGAATGTTTAATTCTTATAATTCCAATTACAAAGTTTTAAAATTATTTCTCTTTGAAGCTTCCATACAATCTGTTATTTCTGTATACATGGTATACAGCGTAGGATTACTTTATGTCGCTATGTGGAAATGAAACGTGATCGAGATAAACATCGATAAAGTTTAACTTAAATTGTCAAAACATTCCATAAAACAAACTTACAAAAACTCTTCAAATATTGTTTAAGTCAACGAATATCGTAAATACAAGTAGACTTTAGAAGAATTCGTCCTTGACCATGTTGACATTAACGACAAACGCTCTAAAATGAAAGTAGCATACCGACGACACCCTTGAATTGCTCTGGTTTTTTTAAAGACGGGACAGAATATAGGATGTAGAAATATGAATTTGATGCCAATAAGGCAAGAGTCTGAGGTATGTTTGTCTTTCCTACCAGCTACCCAGAACTCAGCTGATTTGCTTAGCATTAGGAATGACGATAATATCCTATTAGAGATTTAACTCATGATCTGACAGTGACATAAACATAAGAATCCCATGGCGTCTGTCAGTCCTGTATGTTGTCAGTATTGTTTTTATTTAATTTAAAGTTTCTGTAATTGTTTAGCTAAAACAGACTAGAAGTAACGATTTGTTTCTTTGTTTTTTTTTTTTACAAGAAAAGCTACATGTAGGTCAAGATAGTAGTACCGGTTGAGAGATTTATCGATGTGTAAACTTTTCTTGAATTTGTTCTTGTCCAATCAAAACACAGGAAATCAATAAATAAAATTAAGATTGGAATTATAAGTAAATAAACCCTGAAACACTCTCTCAAAATATAAAGTACTGATTTAAATGAAAGTGTAAAAGATAAATCATTAGTATATTTTTACACACTATTAGGCCTGTGCACAGTGTTTTCAAATTGAGTGATTTTTCACTACAAACTAAATCCCAATATGATATATATCCTACACATTAACCAATAAAAATCTGTACCTCCAAATCCCGCTGTTGTAGTTGTGGCTCCTAAACCGAATCCTGGAATACATATGTTATAAGACGTTTATGTTATGTACATGTAGGACAATATTTTGCTTAGTGAAGGGCCTATGATTAAATATAAGAATAGACAATTACATATTATGATAGAAAAGCAGTTATTTTGTTGTCTTGAAAGAAACTTGGAAGAAGACAACGTGAAGTTACCAAATGTGGGGGCTGTGGTAGTAGTAGCTCCAAACAGTCCTGTAGAACCAAACCCTCCCGTTGTCTGTCCTAGGGCCCCCAGTCTCGCTACGGGAGGGGCACTGGCTGGCTGCTGAGACTTTGTTAGGGCAGACGCCATGGCAACAGCGGCAGCATTAGAGAGGCCAGAGAAAGGACTAGGACCAAAGTGATCCACGACGACCTTAGCTTTCACTGGCTTCTTCTCTCGTTCAAAAATGTTTTTTGTGTCGTGAAGGAATATTTTTCTGTAGTTTAAATAGTGCTCCTTCTGGGTCTGTAAAATGTTTGTGAATGTTGAAATTAAAATAGGTAGTTACCTATCCTGTCATAATCTTACAATTTCAACAAGGTGTCTTAACCTTTACTCTTCAAATAATCAGTTTTGTTTGCTTCCTGAAGCCAACAATTACATTTGTGTGTCCTTACCTTCACCGCTTCATGGACCTGATGTAGCTGAGCTGCTAGAGCAATGAATGCTTCATGTAGCTTTCTCAATAGATCAATCAGCTCTAAAAATAAGAATGAATAACCTTACAACTAAAAGATCACTTGTATAATGCATGACAAAAAAAGTGTACAAATACATGCACCCAACCAATACTACATTCTCAAAATAAGAGGCAGTAGCCAGTAGGTTTACACAATACAATGCTTTCTTTGATTGTTGGTATGGAAATTAATGGGTCCAGCTGTTACAGAAAATATACACAACTGAGAAAGTGAGTTGCGTAATTTTTTTCTGTTATACACTCTGCAGCTTCAACCAAAAATGTCATACAATCAAAGAAGGTCATTTTATTGTTTAAATTTATGTCTGTATAAATAGTCTTATAACCGTAGGTTCAAATATGTTAAATATTGTTTCATTGATATGTAAATCATTGTATATTACATTGATGGAAAGCACACTGCAAAATATTTTATAATATTTACATCCCCAGAATATTATCTCCTTTATTTCTTAAGAAATCTATTTAATAAAAGACCACTGTTTTCATAAGAAATAAAGGAGAAAATATTCCGTATGTAAATATTAAGAGATAAACTTTACAGTTTGATCATTGTACAAATAAATCATCAACTGAACAGTCCACTCAGGTAACAGTATAAAGAGTGTACATTTTTGGTAACAGCAGAATTGTCCTTAAGACCCGGAGGCCTGGGAATTTCCCCGCCTATAATGATGTAAACCCCCGGTTATTCTGGCATTCCCCCTCAACCCTCTGTTAGGAGAGGAAGCCTAAAACCCCTTTCTACTTTTTAAATGTCCCCGGCTTTTTCAGTTCTTAGGGACAATTCTGAACAAAATATTACCAAACAAATACTTTATCTTTACCTTCAGGTGACAGTATACTGGGTTGACTGATAGAATCTACTTTACTTTCAGGTGACAGTATACTGGGTTGGCTGATAGAATCTACTTTACCTTCAGGTGACAATATACTGGGTTGATAGAATCTACCTTACCTTCAGGTGACAAAGTGGGTTGACTGTTAGAATCTATTTTACCTTCAAGTGACAGTATACTGGGTTGACTGATAGAATCTACCTTACCTTCAGGTGACAATATACTGGGTTGACTGATAGAATGAAGATGTCCCTCCAGGGTCTCTATCTGCTGCCTGTAGGTCAACATCTGGGTCTCAAAATCCTCCACCAGTTGCTGGAAATATCTGTTTGAAAAGAAATTCAAGTTAGTTGTCATAGTCAATACTAACTGGCACTAATTTATAAATACCTATTTTCTTGAACCAAAACAAAAAATCATTTGAATACATCTTATAATATTTTTTCTAAAAAAAGCAATTATCAACATCTACACTTTAGGTCTACAAGTAAATCTTCTTCATCCACAGAAACATTCTAGGACTTTTAGTAAGTCTAGTCCATATCCACAACACTTACTATATAGCACAACACTTACTATATAGGACTATCCATACTTACTCTGTAGGAGCCGTGTTCTCATACTGGAGTCCAGCAGGGATGTCCTTTGTTCTTTGTGCCATTTCTGCATTCTTCAGTTCCTTAACACAGAAAGTTAATAGTATATAACTTACACAAATTGGCTTCAAATTCCATAGTCAATTACACTATTAATCATGCATGCTAAATGTACATGTAGCATACAACTAAATAAATCCTAATTATTGAACTTCTGTAATACCTCACATGATGTAATTTTATAATTTTTACTGAAATAGATATTTTAGGATTTTGATAAAAAAGACTTATGAAGTACAATAAGTTTTCTGGACAGCATATGCATTACTCTGGTATCTGTTAGACACAATTGTCTAGAGATATTCCCTATAAACTTTGTCTAGACTTTGAAATCTTGAACAAAGAATAAATCTTACTTGAGTCATTTCCCTCTTTAGTTTCTCCACAGCACACGCATTCCTCTGGAGTCCGTTAGACACGATAGACAAGAGCTGTTTGAGGGACGCCACGTCCTGCTGGACTTTGTACATCGGTTTAGATGACATCCGGGAAATCCCCTCCTGTTCCGTCTTCTCCTCCTTCACATAAGTCCTATGAAAATAAGTCCAAAATCAAAGTGCTGAAAGTACTGAAAAACATTTTCTTCCCATATGAAGAACCAGAACTGAAAGTACTGATGTCAGATTTGTACCATAAGGAAAAATTCACTTACTTGAAATCTTCTACTGTCTTCATAATTTCTGGAGGAATTTGACTCTTCTTCAAAGTTTTCCCATCTCTGCAAAATCATATCATTCATTTATGACAGTATTCCAGATTCTAACAGATTCCAGAATTTCTGATCAATTTTAAGATTAATTTGTGAAATATGAAAGTATACATTTCTTAACACTTCTGATGTTACTAAAATTCCAACATTTGCTAATAAGAAGATTATGCCATATAAGTTTGATGACTGACACAAAGCCAATAAGGGCACTTACAAGCTGTTTAAAAAAAGAACAAATATCAGCACAGGTTATAACAAAAAAAGAACAAATATCAGCACAGGTTATAAAAACATACCCTGCTTTAGGGTCTACTGTTAATCCACCTGAAATGAAAAAAAAACCCACAAATTTTCAAGCACATATACTATTTAATTTTAAACTGCAATAAAAACTCCTTAACTGTAAATTAAATCAGCATTGCTTCCTTAAGTCATTTTTATTCATTTGACATTTTTTACTTGGCACAATAAACAGAATCTATATATATGATACTTTGAACTACATAATTATACTATGGATGGAGAGAGTATTTTTACCAGATGTAGCTGTTGAAGTTTTTGGATCCACCCCTCCTAAGCCCACAGTCTGTGATGTGGTAGCCGGGGTCCCAAATATACTGCCTGTGGCGGTGGTGGCTCCTAGTAAACCTACATGTATAATGCAGAGAAAAGAAATATGAGGTGTAAACTATTCCTGATCATCTACTGACCTAAAGTGTTAGGGAAGCATGTTCATTAAGAATTTTTTCCCATTGTATATACAAATTATGCATATCGAATCATTTAATTTTATCCATAATGAAATATTTCCATAAGTTTGACAAAACCTTTTCATAGCATTTACAGATATCTTGCAGATGATCAAATATGGAAACATAGATGAATTACTTGTGTCCAGCAAGGGTTGGATTAAAATAAAATAGCATACTTGATACCAGGAATTACCTGTTGGTATGATCCAGTTATTTAATGTGATTTTGAAATCAGTATTAACCCAATTCCAGTATTTATCTGTGATATGAAATAAGTAACTACCTATAGATTTGACTGCAGTAATTTCCTTTGGGTTGACAATAACCAAGGGTTTGACCATTAATAACCTGTGGGAATGTTATTGTTGAAATCAGTAATATAAGTAATTACCAGTGGGTTAGTACAAGTAATTATTTGTGGGTTTCTACAAGTAATTACCAGTGGGTTAGTCAAGTAATTACCAGTGGGTTAGTCAAGTAATTACCTGTGGGTTAGTACAAGTAATTACCTGTGGGTTATTACTAGTCATTACCTGTGGGTTATTACTAGTCATAACTTGTGGGTTATTACTAGTCATTACCTGTGGGTTATTACTAGTCATTATCTGTGGGTTATTACTAGTCATAACCTGTGAGTTAGTCCTTGTAATTATCTGTGGGTTAGCACTTGTAATTACCAGTGGGTTAGTCCTAGTTATTACCTGTGGGTTAGTACTTGTAATTACCTGTGGGTTAGTCCTAGTCATTACCTGTGGGTTAGTACTTGTAATTACCTGTGGGTTAGTCCTAGTCATTACCTGTGGGTTAGTACTAGTAATTACCTGTGGGTTTGGTCAACGAGGGATTGCTGAAGCTTGGGAATCCTCCAGCAGTGGATGATGTACTGGTGAGTGTAGGTCGTATCCCCCCAGTAAGTCCCCCTCCCAATCCGGCTGATGTACTGGGTATAGGTAGAGCAAAGCCCACTGTAGGAGCCGTGCTAGCAGTGGTGGTGGATCCAGGAAATGCAGGGGTGGAAGTAGCAGCTGCTCCCAGTTTAAACCCTGCAGGCTGTGTTGTTGCTCCTCCCAATGTAAAACCTCAAACCAAAAATAGATATATAAACACAGCTCCTTCCATGTCTGTCAATATGAACTAAAAAAGTTACAAGTCAAACTGAAAATTGATGGACAAAATCTCAACAATAGTATTCAGTTGTTGAAAACAAAATCTTTCTTCAATCTGCAGGGCTTTATCAACTATTTTGACTACCAGTAAATGATAACTGTCCCTTTTGGAAAAAATGTCAAAATTCTCCTTTTTGTGATGAAAAATTTCCTAATTAACATTTCAAATACATTTATTTCTAGAAATGACACCCAGAATAGCTTGCAAAATGCAGATTTTTGTAACATTTTTTCTGAAAATTTCCAGGGAAAGGGGGGGGGGGGGCTCCAATAGTAAATTCAGACCTCCAGTGCTAAATACTGAGCTATTACTCAAAATACTTTCCCCTATTATGTAAAAAAGGGTAGTCAAATAAAATAGCTAGATAAATCCCTGGTCTGACTGTGACTTACCTGCTGTTGAGGGTGTGGTTAGGGTTAGGGTTAACCCTAACCCTGACTCTGACTGACCTGCTGTTGAGGGTGTGGTTAGGGTTAGGGTTAACCCTAACCCTGACTCTGACTTACCTGCTGTTGAGGGTGTGGTTGTTTTTGTAGAAGGGAAGGCTGGTGTTGTTCCTCCCAACTTAAAGCCACCTACAAAGTATTCAGGTTCCAAGTTAACAGATGTCGTAAATAAAACCTTACTGTGACCCAAATTACACAAAAAGGTCACAATATTCCTGTAAACAGTAGTGTTAGCATCAGAGACTATGTCTCTCCTGATTTGGAATCACATCCTGTGACAAAGTAAAAAAAAATGGCACTGGTCTACGATGAACCTTACTCCTTAGAAGTTCCAAGCAAATAGTGTTTGAATGGCTAAAGCAAAGACAGAGACCAGGGGTCTAAACCTGAATCTCGCCCAATAGCAGTGTAGATAAAAACAGACAGTTAATGTAGTTGTTGGGTCTGACTGGAAAATATAACCATAACATTGTTATACTTTTGACTCTTTAAACACTATTCCTCTAACTGACTTTCCAGACATGTGTCTAGTGATAATGATAACACTGACCGACCTGTGGATGATGGAGTGCTTCCAAAGTTGAAAGGTGTGGTTCCGCTGGTGGCGGGGGTCTGTCCAGTACCACCAAATGTCACATTTTGGCTAGCCTGTGTAGAGGGTGTCCCAAAAGTAAATCCACCTATGAATATATCAAACTCAAATGCATCACCTGTACAATGAACTACTGTAACTGATACACAGAGGAGTAAATCCAGAAGTCTTTGTTGAGATTGCTGCTCTACTGGATTGCATTTTTACAAGTATGTGAGAATTTCTAGGTTTTTTTAACTTTATTTTTATAAGATAAATTTTAAGTGCAATGCATCGCTACAACATTTATTGGAAAATTGATGTATAGAATATTTCAACATGACTGGAGAGGGCTTATATCTAAAGGCTATGCCTGCTGCCCAATCCATTTATGTTTCAGTACATAATAAAATATGTTCAAATCAAATTAAATATGTTCTCACTGGAACAACAAATATTCACTAAATAATAAACTCACTTTGATATTGCAGATAAAAAGGAGATTAAATGTTTATTGTTAAAATTTGCACTTTTCAAACTCTGTTATGGTAATTTGAGTAGCATCCAACATCATAGCTTAGACGCTCAAAATGTCTGGTGTGGTTTGACAAGGTATACTTAGTAAGTTATATCTGAATAAGTATTCACTCTCTACTTACAAACCCTTTAATTATCATGTGATCTCTGATGATAGAAAGGGTGAAATTAACAGGAAATAATTATCACTAAGCTTCCAGAGGACAGAATGGGATAAATCATTTCGATTCCATATTTTGTTTCAATACCATCAACATATTATTAATGAAAAAGTAAAAACAGAAAAGCTCAGACAAGCTTTTTGGCTTTGGTGAAACAAACTCGCTGCAATAATGTAGCCCTCTCCAATTTTTTTAAATCTGATGTTTTCAGGAGAGGGCTACAATTCCACTGCATCTCCGTAATGGTACAAATATATTTTTTAGATACAGGCAACTGCAGGCAAAATAAATTGTTTTTGTATTCAAATTACTTCCAATAAGACAGAATTTTTATTCACTATTAACAACAGCCCTTTATACACGAATACCAAGTAAAATAAATCTGTGTGTTTACCACTTGTTCTCCTCAGCAGCCATGAGAGTTCTCGCATGTTGTACTGAGACTTGGTTTTGAAATTCAGAATAACTTGATAAAGTAAATGTCGGTGTTGATAAATGTTTGTGTTGATTGCTATCACTATTCAATGTGATATTTTTTTCATAAACAGTGATATTTATGCTTAAAATAAGGGAAATCCTTAAAGATCCGCTCCCTTAGATCCCGAATTGTCATTGGTTGTGACAGTTCCAAAATAAAATTGATCAAGGTCAGTAAACATGGCGGATAAATTCAAGTTGTGATGTTGACATACACAAAAAATGACCGATATATGGACTGTTCTGTATTTTTTTGCATAAATTCATGTCTTGCATAACTACATTTTATGAGTTCAGGTAAGATATGCTAACAAAACAGCCACTGACTGAGAAATTGAGCTGAATTTAAATCAGTGTGGGAGTGAATCACTTGCACCATTACGGAGATCCTAAGGAGTTGTAGCCCTCCCCCCTCCCCCCCCAAAAAAATGGAGAGGGCTACATTATTGTAGCTAGAAACAAACAAGTTTTAGTTCATACTTACACGAAGTGGTCATGATACTGTGGTCATGTGTACAAGGGACTACTCGTAAAATCCTTATATTTGCCATCAGTAAAATGCTCACAAATGTACAAACATGTATTCAATAAATTGTATTCAATAAATTGCATTCTATTTTTAGATAAGGGACTTCCCACATGCTGCTTAAAAATCTACAAAATATGGCCAATGCCTTCAATTTCGAAACACAAATAAAGACAAACCTGTTCCTGCTGATGTGACTGGCGTTGCTCCGAATGAGAACCTGCAAGTAACAAGAATACTATGTGACTGGGTAATTTCCGTGGGTGGGATATTTTTCAAAACTCAAGACTAAAGATTGTGCCTTCTGTTTAGCTTATTGTCAACTACATTAGTCAAATTTTACCTGATCCTTTACTATAGTATTCATGATTTGATAAATTATGTATATAACTCTATCAGAAATGCAATTAAAGTTTCTTTACCCAGATGATTTAGCACCTGAAGCACCAAACATCGTTTTATTTCGTTCCGCGCATTTCAAAATAATAATGAACTCGTACTAGGAATTGGGAAAAAGAGAAAAGAAAAAAACAGAAAATGGAATGGAAAAGAAAGCTTAAAAAATATCTGTAGAAACTAGAAAATGTAATACACTGGCTTTGGTTTAAAGTCCTCATTTGGTTGTGGTCACATTTTCGCAATTGTTTGGACCGAAACAAATGAAGACGAATTTATTAAAAATAAGTGTTATTATCACTTCCGGAGGAGGAGCAATGGCGTGTTGACACATACATAATGCTGTAATTATTCATTTTAATTGAGTCCAGCTATTTTAATTAACCAAGACATGGAGTCCATTCGAACGCCCAAGGTATAAGCAATTTATTGAAATGTTTGAATATGTATGTCATATGCCACAGGATGAGTTAACTGTGTGGTTTGCAGCCACTGTTAATTCTTTATCAATATAGGCTTGATAATTATAAGCGTTTTTGATTATTGGAAGAATCGTTATGTCTTTGTAAATATGTGAACATTGTGACATGTCTTTATTTTTAAACTTTCTTTGATGTGAACTTGAGTAAGTGCGTTTGCACTTGTCAATGAAATGCAATGTCGACTATCTGTTGCACAAAGAGGTACTACATACTGGAGTCTTGGTTTCTCAATGTACAGTTCTATACAAAAAATTTCATAAAAAATAGTAAGGGTATGCAGGTTCGAGAATGGCATCTGCTCCACTTGTTTGATATGTTGACGGTGCAACCGTTAGGGTGAGCGCAGATACTGATTCAGTTTTAATTTTAATAGATCCGCCTCTTCAAATGGCACTTGACATTTGGAACGTCTAGACTCTGACTTCACATGATGTCGTATGTTAGTTGTAGTCTGAAAAGTGCAAATTTTAACAAAGAACGTTTTAATTTACTATTTATCTACAATATACATTAAATCAAGGTGATTTTATTTTTTGGTGAGATTTTGTTCTTACCACAAGAATGTAGTTAGCAGCAAGATGTATTCGCATTGTAGGGTTGTGGGTGTCAATGTAAGTGCAGAAAAAACCATTTGGATCAATGTGCAAAGTCAGATTTTTCTTTTCCCCCCATTATTGCTTTAAGAGCTTGCAGTGATGAGTGGTGCTTTGCTTTGCTTCACGGCTCTCTCAGTTCCTTTGCTTGTTTGCATTGCTTGCAGCAGTGTACGTTAAAAAACTTTTTTCAGCACTAACCCAGTTACTAGTAATAGCAAAATTTTACTAGCCCAAGTCACATTTTAGTAACCTCCCCAACCCCCTCCCAAGGTGTGAAAAATAAATTTAACATAGAAACAATGAATCATAATACCAAACAAAGCATGGACAGAAAGACAACTGGGATATGGAAATCATTGACAAAAGCATAAATACTTCATCTCACTGACATTTCTTTATTGATATTGATTAAAATAGACATATATCACTGAAAATTCCATTAGACTGGTCGGGCTAGTGTCATTCTACATTGTAATAGCCCAACTCAATTTTTACTTAATAAACTTTTAGCACATTAGAAGTAACTGACATTAACTAACCTATTTTGAATGCATCTCTAAACAGTTATTGTTAAATGACCAAATGAACTGCATATATGTGATAAATTCAGATCCTGCTGTCAAAAGAGGACTAAAACACTTTTTAAAGTCAGTCAAGTAGAATATAAACTCTCCTGACAGTATACAATACATAGATAATAGCTAGCATTTGGAAAATGTTTGTTGTATTAGCAGGACTAATTCACTCTGAGATGTTTTAATGTAGGAGGTTCTCAACTTAATATCTTTCATCATTTACACAAGCTAATGTAACATGAATTGAAATGGAATCCATAATGACTGTTAAACTTAGTTATTTAGGAGAATTTGTTAATAACAGTTATCTTTCTTGTGCAGAAGACAGACGAATATAAACCATTATTGTCATTATGTTATGTACACAGGTTTCAATAACCAAACCATTTTATGCTTCCACTGCATATATACAAGATAGGTAACAAATCCCTGGCATCTGTACTTTGTTTTCCTAAAAATAAAGTGCCAATATGACACTGCATCTTACTGGATGCTTCCTTCAGTTTTTTTTAAGTATCTGATATTTTCCCCTCTTTTGATGATCAAGAGATGACACATGCACCACTCAACAGATTTCCTGAGTTAAATGTTGGCCGAATGACAGAGTATAGAGATTTGAGTACTTGTCTTTTCTATCAGACAGTATCATGTGATATATTATATTAAGTAGATCTGTCCAGCAGTGTACTCAATATCTGGACAAAATGAGGAAGTCCCTTTAGACTTATAATGCATACTTAAATATGTCTCCATCACACCGTGTCCTTTGGTGAAATAAATGAATCCACTTCCATTGTCTGGCTAATTTATACCTCAGTTTCTATCTCTTAAAACATGAACTTATATTGATCAGTAAGCAATATAAAATGATTGTAGAGTCAGTCCCAGTGAATGTTAGAAAGAACCTGTGAATAACCAGAATTGATGAGTTTTTAATCCAGGTTTAATTATAAAGTTCTGCTGGTCCAATGATTGTCAGACTATTATTTGGGTCAAAGTGTTGATAAAGAATTGTTTTCACTCTGTGATGAATAAATCTATTTTGTATGTGTGGTAGGATGCACACACTGGATTATAGATTTTTAATTAAATCACTGAAACCCAAAAATTTACATACAGGGTATTTCATAATCATGATAATATATGTTACATTTTTAGAATGATCTAGATATTTTTCTTACCTTTCATATTTCTAATACAAACCAATCATTTTAAACATCAAATCCTCCATTTTAATTCCACATGAAAAAGTCAAGGAAATCTTTGATTTATATTGTTTAGTTGTGACAGAAATTCCACTGTCATTATTTGAATATTTTTTGAAATGGACATAACTTATCTACATATTGTTGAATTGTAAAGATGTTTTATCAATACAAATCACCAGAAATCATTCAGAAGTTGATGAAGGAAAATATTCCAAAAGAAAAGAAGCTTTTTAAGATTCTTATCAGATGCTTGTAAGTTTAGGGCAGGGACGGGCAATATATGCGAGAAATGACACAATAATCCAGGAAGACTAAGGACTTCATGTGATCAAGAATCGAAAATTTTCTTGTTGAAGTGGAGATTTTGAATAATGCAGCAAACTCCATAGAAAAATGTCAGATAGATATGAAGCTGGAAATATCAGCATTTTGTGTGTGTATTGAAAGAGTTTGCATTTGCAATCTTTAAGCCTTCTTCTGTAAAGATTTGTTATTTTTGTAAGTATCTTGTTTTTTAAGTTAAAAAAAAACAACAAAAAAACAAAAAAACATAAGAGTAAATGGAAACATATTTTTCTCTAAAATGTTAAATTAATGCTAAGAACAAAATTGGTCAGGATTTATTTGATGCCTTTTAGCTCATCTGAGCCTTGTGCCAGTTATTCATGTATTGAAATTTATTATACAATGTTCCTTATTTCATGTTCGACAACTCTGAATCATGAATTTATTGAGAGCAAGCTCATAAATTTGATAAAGATTAAAGAGTTCTCATCAAACTGTAAAATGTATGTGATATATAAGTCTAAGCCAGTTCCAGGTGGACCCAAAGTGGTGACATAAAGCCTGAAAAACCCATGATACTCAGGTGACTGTTAAAGTCCATTGGCCTCTTGTCTTTTTAAGAAATTATTTAAGGACAGACAATATGTTCCTTAATAATATATAATTTTTTCTAAGACTTTGTCATTGAAGTATTAATTGCTACTTTAACATGTTTAACATGCTTACTCGCAAAAAACTGAGGTATCTTACCAGGTATTTGTGCAAGATACCAGAGGATGTTGTTTCCTTTAAAATCCTTTTGGAAAAAACTTAATTTGCCAATATCACATTTTTTAGAGTTTCAATTTTTTCATACATTTATGAAGATATACAAAACAGATATTTGAGGAACGTATCGTCTGACCTTAAAACTAAATAATCAGTTGTTATATCAGTTACTGATAGATTATTATATTAAGGTATAGTGATATTATTTGTATTACTATACATGTATCTATTTCATTTGGAGCCTTGGTTTGTGTAACTTACACTTGAACCAGCTTTATATTAAGTGACTGGGAAAACCCTCATCTGCTTGAAGACATGCAAACATCCCATTACTCCGACTAATAACTGTTTATGACCCAGGCTAAAGCTATATTCTTTAAGAAAGTAAATGTGCATTCGATTTTCAGATTTAGAAAAAACAAAAATCAATGATGAGCCTTAGATGTAAAGACAGTTTGTCTGCTTGTCAGTGTTAATAATCTCACTTAATCCAGTAAATATTGGCAGCGATTCTCTGAATTCAAAGTGACAAAAAATAACTTCCAATGAATAGTTGTCTTAAGCTGAAAAAAGAATTTAATCATTTAATCATAAAAAAGATTCATCACATTTTTGCCCTGGACTGATTGTAAATGATTATACATTGATTATTTTATGGTCTTCATCCTAATGCCCCAGGGTTGCAGAGACCATAAAATGAATAGTTTTTATCTTTTTATTGCTATCCACCAAATTTGGTTTAAATTGATTTGACTATTTCAAAGAGGAAGATGATCTAGTGTTCAAAAGCTTAAGATGCACATTGGACAAAAATTGATAGCAATGGATTATCTATGTATCGATGTGTCCTTATATGATCTTGTAAGCTACATGGTCTATATTGGGTATTAATTAAGTAATCACACATTTTAGTACATTAATTGTCCTAATAAGCAACTTGAGAGTAAATTCAGGGGATTTGTAAGATAAATTATTACAGAGAGTAACTTAGCAGAATGTGATCATGTCTCTGAGCTGCTAATTGAGTCGAGGTGATTAATTGTGTCCACATACTTTAAGAAGATATCCTTAAATATGTTTTAAGTTTTTGTCATTAATTTTTACATTCAAGACAAATATTGAGATACCAATGAGTATATAAATTAAAATATATTTATTTTGATGGTTGAGAAACAGAAAACAACAATTTCCAATTCAGTTTAAATTAAAGTGACAGTACGGCGCATCTCATAGAAAAAGTGAGTTGATAAAATTTTCCGACAAGATTTAGAATTTTTTTACTGCTCATAGATTTATAAACTTTCAGAAAATTACAACTTTCACAATTAAATAATTTGGATTATTTCATTAAAATTAATAGTTATTTATGGGACGTAAACATATACATTGCAACGTGTTTGGGCTTCCACATTCCATGCTATGCACGCATGCGTAGTTTTCATAAACAAAACAGCATGGTAAGAGAGAGAAGCCTGGAAGGCCTGCTACATTGACAAAGTCGACCAAAAAAGAAAAAGAAACTGAAAATAGACCTTGAAAAAGCAACTTTCCTGACTAAAATTTAGTTTGGGGATTAATATGATAGTTGGATAAGGAAGAAACGGGAACTCGACGACATTCACGCGGGGCTCGCAAAGGTTCTACTCGACAGGTTTGTTGATACTTGTTATCATTTCTCATTTTTCCATCGCTTTAAAAGGAAAAATAGTGTAAACTCAACATGAAAATACACGTATGACTTATAAACATTGTTGCCATTTGAATTGCTAATTTTTTTAACTGTGCAGAAAAATGTTTTGTTTGACATTTGCCGCGATAACGTATGATTTGGTGGTTTTTCCTCTCTCGGACCCCAATACACAAAACGTCAACATTTGTACTTTTAATTCTGTTAAATTCGCCTGAAAGCAGACTAAAATCTTTACGATTATTATTTTAGATTATTTTATCAGAAAGTTATGATAATTTGCTTTTGAAAATTGCTTTTTCCTCATATTCATTATAATTGTAAATTCTACAGTGTAGACACATGCCGTTTCAGAATTCACGTGGTACAAATAAACAGATCTAAGACTGCTCCAGTTCGTACGACCCTTCATTTTCCGGCAGATTCTAATTACGTTAATTTTGTATGAGGAGAGAATATTTCTGTTTCTCAAACTGCTTACATCAACTTTATACCCTATTTCTTAATGATATATTGGGTAAATTTGAATGAAAAAGCACACGTTGTGCAGCCGTACTGTCGCTTTAAATGCTTGTAGGGACAGTCATACTTGACAGACGTTTATGCTTATTGGATGTAATACGGTAATATAATTAATTATTCAGTATACAATTCCAGTACCTAACCCAATGTTTCAGATTGCATCCATTATGTCAATATTCTGTATGCTTATGTTTGTCCTTGGTGGCTTAAGTTAATAAGTCTGGTGGACTTTTTCCTCATCGCTATTTATTTACTGTATCTTTTGGAGACTAGAATTAATGAGTGTTATTGAGAGAGACCTGTTAACTCTAGTCAATACAGCACTCAGGGTATCAATAGCTAGTTAGGAAGATGACAAATAGAATTTTTTGCTCCTAATTAGGATGGGATTAGATGTACTATTGTGGAGCTGGACCAGGTATTGATAAGAGATAAGGATTACAGTTGTGAAGTTGGATTAATTTAATGTGGAGTAGGAATGACTTAGGGAGCAGGATTCCTTATAATGTGGAGTTGGACTTTTAGTATGGGATCAGGATTACTGATGTTCTGTTGGATTTGGAATAAAATAATGGATTATGATTACTGATGTTTTGTTGGATTTGGAATAAAATAAGAGGTTTTGATTACTGATGGACTGTTGGATCTGGAAATTAATGATTAAGGGATTAGGATTACTGATGTTGAGAACTTTGTAATTTGATTCTCTGGATTACACTTGAAGAAAATTAATAAATGAACTAGGGAAGAGGATTTTTATATGGATTAACAATTAATATTAAGCCTGAATCAGAAGTGAAGGTATACTTAATTTTATTTGGACTCTGAATTTCTAATGTGGAATAGGAAATATTTATAATAATTTGGATAATCAGTGTAGGTGTTTAATGCAATAAGGAATGTGGTTTCTGATGTGTTATGGGAATACTGACTTCACTGTACACTGGGAGGAGTTCTCATTGATACATCACATATTGACAACCAATATAAAGCGGACTCCAATCTCCGTGTAAAAACGAGATAGAAGACAGCTTCCCTGTATGGCTGTTCTCAAGTCATTGATAGGGTTAAACATAGGAGGAATTTTCTATGAATACCAAATCTGTCAGAGATTTTAGATAGTTATTCAGCTCTATTGTTTTTGATTGGTTTTTGGAGAGATGTAGGATATGCTAGCATGGTTTTAAAGACTTCCATCATTCTGTGAAAGTTTGCATTTTCATTGGGAGACCAAGAGATTCTTAAAGGAAACTTGGTGAGAATTATAGTGAATCACATTAATAATTGATCGGACTCATGTGTCATAGAGCTGTGTCATAGGAACTATTTCAGAAAATGTCCAATTCGTTAACAGAAGTAGTTCTCTATCAACATGCTTTGATCTTGGTGTATTAGCATTTGAATTTGATACCCTGGGGTTTATTTTTAAAAACAAATGTAATCAATAATTTATGAGTTGAGTGATTACCCCATGGTTAATAAAGATTGACTGCATTGTGAAGCTGTAGTCTACTGGGAAACTTCTATATTTCTCACCGAGTCAACAGATTGTCAATATTCAAAACATCGGAACACTAACGTTTCGGAGGTCCGACTAAGTGTGCATTAATGAGTGTGCTGGAATGGACACAGGAGAAACTTGATGATTTGGAGAGTTTTGCCCAGAATTTGTTTCAGGATATGGGGAATATATTAGATCTCAGTCTCTTGAAAGAAGACTGTATCAATAAGCAGGTATATACGACTTAATTGATCTTGTACCTCTAGTCACTACAAGAGTTTAAGAATTCAACAGCTAGGCCAAAAACAGGGAGGAATCTCTTTGCTTATGTTAAAGAAATATGTCTGATGGACATTTTCAGAACTTTCTGTGTGTTTCTGTAAATATCACCAATGATTTTAGTTGTTGGTTAGATATTTAGTTTATTGAATCAGAATTATTTTTGTAGATATTATTTATATATTATATGTATTTACATTTGCTGTGTTTTTCTACTATACCAACTAAGAAATTGATTTGAATGCCATTTTCATGTTAACTCATGCATAGAAATATACATGGAGAAACTCGCGCTATTAGTGATATCACAATGCGGCTACAGAGACATTAGTAAAAAAGTAACAATTTAGGGCAGCGAGAAATTCAAAAATTGAGTGCATTTTTGCTGCTTTCAAACATGTAAAATGTATATATAAGGAATGTTTTTAAGTTTAGTGTGAATTATTGGTGTGTAAATCACACAGACTTGCATGTAGGTATATTTTTCATGAAGTGCTTCATGAAATATGCCTACATGACAAGTCTGTGTGATTTACACACCAGTAAGTCACAAAAAACTTTAAAAAATTCCTTTATATACATAGTGAGAATATCTTATTATGGCCAGTTCACTGCTGTCAAATTTTACAAAAATAGGTTCCTGGAAATACAAGCATTTTCCAAAAATCTGAGAGTCATAATGTAAGATTTATAACTGATTCTTATGCCAAATTATTATGTGAAGTTTATTTTGGTCTCTTTTTAGTGTAATACTCTCCTATATAGAGAGAGTTATGGCCCATAGGGAGAAATTTATTTGGAATAGGTATTTTTCTTGCACATTAATAAGTTTATTTCATGAAAAGAAAATTCTTGGATATACATATCATTGTAATATATAAAAAAATTTTTAAAATGTACTCATGCAGTTTTTCACATAAAATCTGACATAAAATTCTCTTTGGCTCTACTGGTTAATTGCTGAAATTGACCTCTATGTTACGTCTTTGTTACTTTATTTTTGACAGAATATCCTGCATGATTGACCTATTCTTACAATTTATTGTTGTTTGTTTTTTTACAGGTGGACAATGTGAAGATGGTGGAGAGGTTTCGGACCCGGAATCCTGCGGTGGGGACGCTGTACCTGACCACCACTCATCTAATCTTTGTGGACAGTGCTGGGAAGAGGGAGACCTGGGTAAGCTAAAGGTCACAGAGATAGAGGGAAGGGGAAGCATGGGTAGAGAGGAAGGGGGGGTTAAAGTTCTCAGGTGACTGCACCGCCACACATCTAATCTTTGTGGACAGTGCTGGGAAGAGAGAGACCTGGGTAAGTAAAATGCTACAGGGATAGAGGGAAGGGGGAGCCAGGGTAGAGAGGCGGGGGTAAAGTTCTCAGGCAATTGCACCACCACACATCTACTCTTCATGATCTTTGTGGACAGTGCTAGGAAGAGGAAAACATGAGTAAGGGATAGAGGGAAAGGAGTAAAATTTTCAGCATGCATGAAGTTGCTGATACTGTTACTCAGCTGTGTTGTCATTGCTTGAAGACTTCCATTAATGTAAGAAGTACAGAGTACATGTACACTATCTGATCTGACATGATGGGTGGACATTTCTACTGAGAAATGAATATCTGTATCCCAGCAGTTTTTTTGAACATTTAAAGTATAAAGAGTTTATATATAGACAGCCATCTTTGTTATGACATGATGAACATAAAAAATTTACAATTCACTGCTTGATATGCTTAATGAGCATTGTATATGCTGCATGAGTGATAGATATATGTCTCATTTAAATAATAAAATGCTTTCTTTGCTGTGTTATAAAGGGTAAGATGGTTGTAACATTTCAGGAAAAAAAAAACATTACCAGCTAATGCGATATGGAATTTTTCTGCAGTGATTGCAACTGTCATATCCCATATAACATGGTAAAGAATATCAACTATTGGGAGATAATATTGCCCTTGTCTAAGTCTGGTATTTTATGATGATAAACTGATGAAACTAATTCAGTCTGCTGTATGCCCCTGTAAACATAGTGAATCTTAACCATTAAGCTTTGCATGTGAAGGCAGTCATGGGAAATCAAGATTACTGCTTCAGAAAGGCAGAATTAACTCATGAAATAAAATACTGGAAAGTTTTGATTTCAAGACTATTTCCACCCAGTATTTACATGTCAGATGAATATACAATTGAATTCAATTCAAAAATACCTAAAACTCTAAAAATGATGTCTTATTTCTTAAATAATGGTAAATGCATGCTCTTAATGCAATCCATTTAAAGAGGCATTGTGGAGAGATATAGATGTGTTGATTTGACCTCTTACTGTTTTGCTTCTCAAACCACTAGTTCTCTCTCTGACTGCAGATTTATGTAAAACTTTGGTTCCTCCATTTACTCTTCAAACCACTGCTTTGTTTGTTCTACTTTATCCTCAGTCTATTAGGCTTGGATCCTTCATGTATCATTATTCCTCTAACTAATTGATTAAAATCCCTCTTTTACTCCTCAAACCATAAGCTTTAAATTCTCCCCTTCCTCTTCAAACCCTTAAGTTTTTGATCCTTGTTTTATTCCTCAGGCCATTACCATTGCATTCTCCCATGTCTTATTATTATACCCCCGAAATTGAGGGGAAGAAGGGGGATGTATAGTGATGGGGTGTCCGTCCATATAACCGTCTGCCTGTAACACTTGGGATTTCCTTATCTGCACCTTCTATACCATTGTCTGAATAAAATTTAATAAGACTTTTACAGAATTTTTATTTATATATAGTGCCATTGTGTTCTCTTATTTTATGTTTCGATTGGAAACATATATAATTATATAGGGTTTCCCTTAGGAAAACGTGGACACTGCCATTCTTTCTGGGGTACCTGTCTCTGAACCACAACTCTTCCTATACCACTGAATCAAACTTAATGAGACTTTTAATAGAATCTTTATTACGTAGTTTCACTGTGCACCTCCTATTTTAAGTTCTGGTGGGACAGATAGTTGGGGTTTCCTATAGCAAAAAATGAACATTGCCATTATAATACTCATGTGGGAGCAAGGGATGTCTTCTTTGAGTTCATTGCCCACAGTACCTCTAGGTTTTGGTTGTGTCTTGTTTTGGTTTCATATTTGTTGGGTCTTGGTTTTTGTTCCTTCACTTTATGTCTCAAATAACCACCCTTGGATCCTCCCCCTCCAACCCATTAGAATTTAATTAGCTTATAATCCTTAGAAACAAACTGTTACACCTGGAACCTTAGCTTTAGATCCTTAGAATACAAACTGTTACACCTGAAACCTTAGCTTTTGATCCTAGATACAAACTGTTACACCTGAAACCTTAGCTTATGATCCTAGATACAAACTGTTACACCTGAAACCATAGCTTTTGATCCTAGATACAAACTGCTACAACTGGAACCTTAGCTTTAGATCCTTAGAATACAAACTGTTACACCTGAAACCTTAGCTTTTGATCCTAGATAAAAACTACTACAAATGAAACCTTAGCTTTAGATCCTTAGATACAAACTGTTACACCTGAAACCTTAGCTTTAGATCCTAGATACAAACTGTTACACCTGAAACCTTAGCTTTAGATCCTATATACAAACTGTTACACCTGAAATCTTAGCTTTAGATCCTAGATACAAACTGTTACACCTGAAACCTTAGCTTTAGATCCTAGATACAAACTGATACACCTGAAACCTTAGCTTTAGATCCTAGATACAAACTGTTACACCTGAAATCTTAGCTTTAGATCCTATATACAAACTGTTACACTTGAAATCTTAGCTTTAGATCCTAGATACAAACTGTTACACCTGAAACCTTAGCTTTAGATCCTATATACAAACTGTTACACCTGAAACCTTAGCTTTAGATCCTAGATACAAACTGATACACCTGAAACCTTAGCTTCAGATCCTAGATACAAACTGTTACACCTGAAATCTTAGCTTTAGATCCTATATACAAACTGTTACACTTGAAATCTTAGCTTTAGATCCTAGATACAAACTGTTACACCTGAAATCTTAGCTTTAGATCCTAGATACAAACTGTTACACCTGAAACCTTAGCTTTAGATCCTAGATACAAACTGTTACATTTGAAACCTTAGCTTTAGATCCTAGATACAAACTGTTACACTTGAAACCTTAGCTTTATGTCCTGCACTTGAATACAAAGCATACATAACCAATGGGAGCAAAATTAATTTTCAGCATTAAAACAAATCAACAAAATGATGTAAACCAATAACCCTCTAGTTAAATTGTTATGTAACAGATAAATCATACACACATGGACTGGGTTAATTTCCTAATTGAGAGGATCTCATTTATCCAATATTAATTGTTTAGATTTATCAGAGGAATACTATTAAATTAGATTAAATATAACAGACTCCACTGAATGTTGTAGTCTAAGTAACAGAATGTTGGACCTCTCTCAGTAAATTAATAGACTATCTATGGGAACACTATCACATTTAATTATTTGTTCCCATTTTATCATAGATAACTATATTGTCAATGCATTGTTTCTAATGTCAATTGTCATTTTTTTTCTTTATTATATACCCAAGTGTGTATCACTCAATTTTACTGTAGATTTCGTACAATCACGTGACGGTGTGATCCAACTTTCCGGATCACCACAATGTGGTTTTCTGAATCCATATCACCCCTCTCTGAAATTGATGACGTAGTACACAGAAAAATGACGTTATTTTTCATGCGCATCAAAAAGTTCCTTGTCAAAATGCTTTGTTTAATGGAAAAATCTTATATAATTGATCTCAAAAGTTTTTTTAAAACTATATTTTGCTAGTTGTAAGGGGGGTATATAATAAATTTATCATTATAACAGTAACTTGATCCAAAGAGCCGTATCACGTCTCGTTGACAGGCGTGGATCATCAGATCAAACTCGACGCTTTGCGTCTCGTTTGATCTGATGATCCGCGCCTGTCAACTCGACGTGATACGACTCTTCGGATCAAGTTACTGTTATAATAATGTATATTTATTGTTCAGAGTCTTTTGAGTTTCCAAACTTCTGTACTATAAATAAAATTTTACCTTAATGTATGAAACAGTCTTAAAATGCAGACACTCAGATTCTGACCAGATAATGGATTTTACTACATTTTCAACAGTAAAATACTGTTATTTACTTATTGAATAAAAGTGATATTCTGTCACAGTGTTGAAAGGATATCAAAGTGATATTCTAGCTGTCACAGTGTGACAGAATATCAGAAATGCGGCAAAGCTCTCCATTTTCCTTCCCTTCACGAAAATTGTGGTAAAAAATACTCCCTGACCTGTTATAAGATATAATATCTATAAAGCAGAAAAAAGAAACAGCTTTATGCAATAGGTAATAATTCTCACTTCTTACATATAGAAATAATGTTTGCAAAAAATGTGATGAACATAGTGTCTTGATTTATCAATCACCACATCCAGTGGTGGTTTGTTCCAGAATGATTAGTTTCTCTTCAGAGCTTAACAGTTCTATTCATATACAGCTCTGACTGGTCTTTTTAAGGTTTTTGAGTTCAGAGAGTTTTTTTGGTTTAATTTAATATAATCTTCACAGTGAATTTATTTTTCTTCTGGATGATTTGTGAAAATCTATTTTTTTAAAAAGTGCTGGATCTGGAAGGAATTGGCCAACTTCAAAGGATAAAAGTTAAATACAATCAATACGATCCCATGACCAGGCTGTGAAATTCACAGAATCTCAAACCATAATCTGTAAGCAGAAATTGGCTATTTCACTGTTGACTTTCCCTTCATGATTAAAAACATGGCTGGTGTATCGGCTGCTGGGTAGAAGATGATTTGTTCAAATGTCCCTCCTCATGTTCACGGAGAATTGCCTTTTTTTCAAACACTCTTGAATATACCTGACAGTCGAAAATAACCCTCAGAAAAACTGTCAGGACTAAAGCCCAACCCCCTCCAATTGGCCGGAAATAATTGATTGATTGTATGTTGTTTTACGTCCAGTTCGAGAATTTTTCACTTATATAGAGACGTCACCATATAACGGTGAAGGGCTTCAAATTTAGACCTTAGTACTCGGCACTCAGGGCCATTGAGCAGTGAGGGTTCTTTATTGTGCCAACGCCTGCCATGACACGGGGCCTCAGTTTTTAAGGTCTCAT